ACCCAATTAAGTACAGTAATTACAGAGAATTCCCACTGGCAAGTTTTTTAACCCCAACTCTTCCCCACTGTATTAGAATTATATTAGAATCTGGAGTGATCCTCTGGCTAGGTTCACAAACGTACAAGTGAGGACGCACATGTAGCTCTGACCATCCAAGGTAGGATAGATTATTGGGCCCCATTTTACATGGATTTGACTCTTGAAAGATCACCTTCATGATATGGTTCAGTTAAGCCTGAGAGAGACATCCGGAAGGAACAAGAGCTTCTAAGAGGGGTTACTCTTGCTGATAATGTCAAAGGGGAAGGAGGAAAGCTAACAGCAATTCACAATAGGGGTTCTGGAGGTCTGAGGAAAACCAACCAATCTTTCTCCACCTAGGAGAAGGAACTCCAAGATAAAACTTGGAAGAAGGAATACAATATAAATAATATCCCCCCACCAATTGGCATTGCTATGTATGCACTTGCCCACAATCTAATAAAAGATGGGCTCATCTTTTAGTGGACATTCAGGGAATGTGGGTGCTAACATGTTGTGTTCTCCTGTAAGAGACACAACAAAAGAAGATCTTGATAAATTTAATGACAAACTGCAAGAAGAAGAACTAAATGCAGAATCTGGAGAAATGAAGGAATCTGGAATGATAGATATGCATCAAAATAAACCCAGTATCGGGAGACAGGTCAGAGTTCTGCAAAAATAATTCATTATTGCCAGGCCAAAAACACCACCACCACCACACAGATTCTAAACCTGAGCATCATGTTCTACTGCTATCATTGAAAGCAAATCAACTGCATGAGAGGAAATGGAAGACAAACACAATCCAGTCAGCTCTGGTACATCTATGTACAATCTTTGGAAGAGATCATGAATGAATGATATCAAATAGGTGAGCTAAATATAGTAAATTAAAGGGAATAGGTGTGCATGCAAGTAAGCTATGACATGAGAAACCTATGGTCAGATTATAAGAGCTGTGGTGGCACAGTGTTTAGAATGCAGTATTGCAGGCTAACTCACTGCTCACACCAGGAATTCAATTTTGACCGGCTCAAGGTTGACTCAGCCTTCCATCCTTCGGTAAAATGAGGACCCAGATTGTTGGGGGCAATATGCTGACTCTGTAAATCGCTTAGAGAGAGCTGTAAAGCACTGTGAAGTGGTATATAAGTCTCAGTGCTATTGCTATACTTGCTGTTCCTAGGCAAGATGTATGAATATATAGAGCAGAACAGAAGCTCCATATATTTAAGTAGGACAGAGGCTCCATCTAAGCCGTCAGGAAGAAAATATATATAACCCAATATATGGAGCCCCTGTCCTGCTCTATATATTCTGCTATATAAGCATTTTTTTCCTGATGGCTTATAGCTTATAGTGCTATTGCTAATGTTAAAAATCAGTGTAAGGAACAGATTTCATATGCTTGCGTGAAAGTCAGTCTGATGAGCTACCTGAAGAAATGAGATTGCCAAACCTATCTGTCCAAACTTTCAAAGAAGAAAGTCAAGGGACAGGAAGAACGTAGGATAGTTGAATACCAACTTTCAATATCAAACAAGAAATGGCAAGGAACACTATCTCAGTCAAGAGAGTGAACAAATGGAATAATATAATAAAAAGAACACAAGAGATTTCTTTTAAGAAAGAAAATCCATAGCTAAAGTAGAAACTTCCAACCACTAAAGAGATCTGATATCAGCAAATGAGATTAAAGGTAGATGGAACTGTACTGAAATCCTTTATAAATAAGTTTATAGAATAACTGAAACATTTGTAGGGAAAAATACATTCAGGAACTAAATTAAAAATGAGGTATGACAGGCATTGAAACAGCTACTAAACAGGAAAGCACCAGCCATAGGTTAAAAAACAACAACATTCCATTCAACTATATAAAGCTGTGGAGAAATGGCAGATAACAAAGTGAAGACAACTTCACTCCACAAATATAGAACATGATTTTGGGGATCTAGGGAAAGATTGGTAATATACCACAGAAGCAAGATGCAAATAAATTTGCACATCTCTAAATGAATTGCAGTAATTCTTTTTATGCAAGCAAGGTTTTGCTTATTGTACTTCATGGGATTTAGACACTTACGTGGAGATGAATAAAACACCATGTATTAAAAGAAGTAATCCATTAGTCCTGGGTGACATAAAAACAGATTGCTCCTTTGAGGAAATGATTGGCAAACATAAATTCACACGCTTTGGGCATAAGATGTAAATGGATCTTTGTTTTGGGGGCCTTTTGAGTCAGTGTTGACTCCATGTGCCTCCCTGGTCAAGTACCTGAAGTTTTCTTGGTGTGGTTTTTTCGGAAATGGATTGCTTTGGCCTGCTTTCTAAGGCTAAGAGGGAGAGACTGGCCCAAAGTCACTCAGTTGGCTTGGTGCCCAAGGCAACACTAGAAGCAGTGGCCTTCTGGTTTTTAGCCTGAAGCCTTAATCACTACACCAGATTGGCTCAGACCAGATGAGGATATAGAAAAAATATTATTCTTGCAAAATTAAGGGAAGAGAAAAACAACAGGATAAGGTGGATGGGTGGGATAAAAAAGAATGATCAGAATGTTCATAGAAAAGAGATGGATTACTGGTGACACGACTCCAAGAAAACAAATATTTCTCTATCAGTCTCTAGGAATCAAAGCCAAGTTGCTGAAACTTCACTACATAATTGCTGTTACAACAATCCTCAGGCAGAACACGTGAGAATCGGACTTAAAAGCTACATATCTAGAGAAGGACACTTTTCCAAGTTTTCTTGTCACTCCTTGAGAATCAGCTAAGCATTTGCACCTGGTACCTAAGATCATATCATAGGCTAGGAGGAAAAAAAATGTAACTCCAGCACCCAATTCAATACATTAAAAAAATCCAGCAGAAGGGAATCAGAAATGGCAAGCTGCAGTTTACAACAAACTTTATTTAGCAAAGTTTGTTTTATCAGATAATAGTTCTCTGAAACTTTACAGCAGGAACTGGGCTTTCCCCTTTTGAAAATCAGACAGTTAATCTTTGGCGGAGGTGTTCCTTAAGGGGGCTGAGAATAGCATCTAAGAAAGGAAACACAAAACTGGCCAATCAGGATCCTGGATGATCTGATTAGAAGTCCTCCAGATGTTTCCAACACTAAATGTTTAGCTCAATCATAGGAAAATCAGTGAACCTATGAATTTGGATGAAGCATGCCCAGACATGTCCTTTATTCAGAGAAATGATCTTCTGGATGGGGAAGGTATCCAATAGCATATAAATCATTTATTTGGTTTTGATTAGTGTACTATACACATCCAGTCATTTAAAGCATATTTAGCAAGCATTAGTCAAAATATGTCATGACTTAGTTGAACTCTTTTAGTATAACTCGGTGTAATGACATTGCATTATCCACTGATCAATCTTTCCAACCTGGAACTAACCCTCCAGATGTGTAAGATCAGCAAGTCCCAGGATCAGCAGTCTAATACACTAATATACAACTAGACTACCGAATTCCCAGTGGAACCAGTGGAGGTTCCCATTAACTTCATCTTAATTTCCTCAGAAGGTCATTAATAAATGTGTTAAGAAAACCCTTCTTTCACCTTTGGAACAGAAGGGAGAGTTGATGAAAGAGGTGATAGGGGATAAATAAGGAGAAATAGAAAGAGGACAGAAATACACATTTTGATAAAGATTGTATTTAATAAAATCTCCCCTCAACTCCATATCAAATAACCGTTCATATCTGATTTTACGGTCTGACTAACTTCACATTAATTCAAAGGCACACAAGGTCCCATGTTAGCTATTCACAACTTTTCTCCTTCCCCTTTTTCCAAGAAATATCTTCTTTTAATAGGACTCCCAAGTCACAACCTCTATATATGTGATTTAATGCTGACTTTATGAGTTTTACGTAGGAGATAATAAACATTTTGGATTTCTGGTGCAGGCTTTTACACCAATGAAGCAGTGATGAGCTTTCAGGATGAATGGCTGTGGTGCAGTTCAACTTCCAGAAGCTGTGGCTGACATCTTTTCAGAGGCAAAGTATAATCAGCCCTCACTGCTTCATTCTGGACTTCCATCAATATATGTCCAATGCCATGCAAAATTATCCTAGTGCTGCCCAGGTGAAGGTAGGTTTTGCATTAAACACTGCCTGAGTGGAGCTCAGTAACAGAAGAAAATAAATTATTTCATACAGCCCTGGGCAAGAAATTGCTTTGACAGTTGCAAGCTCTCAACTGTCTAACACAAAAGTCTTGTTACCATAAGTGGGAATGAAGAGTTGTACTTGAGACACAGCTAGAGGGCAGCAGATTGAAGAAGGCTGTTAAATAACCACAAAGGTATTTAGAAATAGCCTGGAACATGACTTTATTCCACACTATTTTGGGCCCTTGCCACTAAATCAACAATATTCCTTTTCATTTAAAGGCCGCTGGCATAAACGCGAGGTTAAATTAACAGGTATGCTTCACTTCCACCACAAAATTTGACATGTTTGAGCAATGTCTTCAGCAACTAACTAATTTAGCAAGAGTCCCTTCTTGGCTTTTTTTTTGTAAGACAAATGCCTTTCAATAAATTCTTTGGATATGTGTCTTTATAGAAACTCCCCAATAACCTCCTCCTTTCGCCACCCACACCATTCATTTTTCACCAAGCCAAATGACATTCCCCAATTCCACCCAGCCACCAGCCAGATCCTGTTTGTTAAGTGACAAGTATTAAAAGACATCCCTTTAGGGACTTGTTTTCAGAACATTTCTCCGTAGGTGTTAAAAAAAATGCATTTATTTTTGCTATTGGATTGATCAATACGTTTTACAACTCTCCACCCAGGCGGGGGCACAAGAGTTATGCGGTCTGACGTACTTCCAGTGGCAAGGAAGCTTCAAACAATCCTCAGAAAGAGAAATAATAATAATAATAATATTAAATCTTATATTAGGAAAACAGCATCTGGCCTCCGAGGGCGGGTCTGTTACTCACCACAGAGCATGAAGAGCAAGACAAAAAACAAGGTAGCCACGATGACCAGGAGAGTCAGGCCAATACTTTGCAACATCTTCCCTGCGGTCCGCGAAGATCTTAGGACGGTTTCGATCTGCCTGACCGGGTGAAGGCGGCGGAGGAGGAAGAGGAAGGAGGAAGAGGAGAAGGCGATCGCGACATCCCCACCGGCTACGAGGAAGTGGAGCAGGCAGAGGGAGAAAGGAGGCAGCAGGGGGGCAATCGGCCCCCTTTAGAAATCGGCCAGCAGGAGAGGAAGTGGAAAGGAAAGGGGCGCAAACCCCAATCCTGGATGCGTAAGGACCATGATGGTTCTGCTTCTCCTCCGCTCTTCTCTTCCAAGAACTCTGCGCCAGCAATCAAGAGGCAGGGAGTTCCAAAGGCGAAAAAGGAAGCAGCAGCTGCAGCGGCGGCGGCATGAGTGCTAAGGGGCTGGTATAAACTAGCGAAGAAGACCGGGAATTTTACCCATAGGCTTTCTGGAGCGACGAAGCCAATCCGCGGCCGAAGAATAGCGGGGAAAGGCTGGCGGGATAGACTGTGGCTCCCCCACCTCACCCCGATCAGAAGAACCCAGGCACGGCGTCTTCCTTGCCCCGATCCTTAGACGGTTCCATTGTTCCCTGCGGCAGGAGGGGCAAAAAAAAAAAAACGAGACTCCCCACCCCACCTCCTAGTGCAGAATGGTTTTTTCCTCTGCGCCGAAAACCGGGCAGCTGCAAAATGAACGAGAGGAAGAGTGGGGGGTGTAGGGAAAAGATGAAGTGGGGGGGGGGGGCGCGAAAGTGTCGTTTCCTTGTCACCCGGATATGATTCGCCGCCCTTGCCGCGAATCTGGGGAAACTTGTAGTTCAGTGTGGGAGCTCTGGGTATCCGTCCGGTGGCCGGGAAATGCAACAAGGAGGACTTTAATTCCCATCATCCTCTGGGAACGAACGTGCCCGCCCAAGAGGCAGCGTTCTGACGGCTTCGAAATCCCTGAGGGCTAAATCTGAATCCGTTTTAAGAGGCTCTGAGAGGCGTTCGTGGCGTGGAGTTTACGAGCAATTTTTTTTACAAAAATTTATTTTTATTTTTATTATTTTTATTATTATTATTATTATTATTATTATTATTATTATTATTATTAATATTAATATTATTATTATTAATATTATTATTATTATTATTTATTTATTATTATTATTATTATGCTTCGATGATTCTTCTGTTTTCTTCGGCGCCGTTGTAAAATAAACACTCCTGAGAACGGAGGACATGTGAGAAGCGAGAGCTGTCACCCGCTTGCAGGGGTCTCCAACCTTGGCAACGTTAAGACTTGTGGACTTCAACTCCCTGGGAGTTGAAGTCCACCAACGTTGCCAAGGTTTGAATCTCCTGGGCCAATGCATAAAGCATTAATGAAGCAATCGGGCGCCCACGCTATGATAGCGAAGGGTTTCAACAGTTCCTCGCCGTTTCGCGGTCGCTCGCGTTTTTGCAGCCCAGCCTCAAACCAGGGATTGACAAAACCGTTTCATTTGCCATTGAATGGAGAAAAGCTCTCGGATTTCTGCTACATTCAGAATCCCAAATCAAGGCTGCTCTAAAGCACTCTGCCTACACTACTTTTGTTTTGTTTGAAACGATCAGATGAATCAATGCCCATTAAAGTGCAAAACTAAGCAGAAAATATGTCAAGAAAAGGAGACCACACACATACACACACAACAATTTTATATTGCTCTAGGAAAAAAAACCTCCAGTCTGATTCCAAACTGGAGGGGAAAAAATCAATGGAGGCTGGCATTGATAAGGAAAGAAGAATTTGGTGGTACTCGCCTCCTTTCCGATCAGCTGTTGAGTGCAAGACTCAAAAACTCCCTTTACTACACTTATACTACACGGGCAAGGGCCATGGAGTTTACCCACAGATGAAAGAGGCTTGTTGTCAGTAGGTTGGTGACTCTCCTGGCCAGGTCCAGTGGTTGGATTAGAAGGGAGTTCCATCTGGCATGCCAAATTGTTGGAAGAAAACTCCAATCCGGTTTCAAGCTGGGGTGGGGGAATCAATGGAGGCAGGCTATAAGGAAAGAAGGTTTGTCTTTGTTTGATTTCCAGAAATTTCAGTGCTAGGAGCATGTTTCTGGGGTGCCTGACAAAATAGCTGAGTGAGTAGATGGATCTTGATAGGGTTTCTGGGGTTTTGTGATTGAGATGTTCCAGGGGGGTTGTGCAATCTAGTGAGCCTTGTACCTTTTACTATTTCAATGGTGGTGGGTTAATCCTGTTATGTCCTAAAGGTCATGGCCTGTCCTTAGAATTTGGGTGTGAGGACTTGTGCTATGAAGTGTTTTCCCCTATCCATGTCCAGAATGGTGGGGACCCAAACCTAGGCACAATGTCCTTGAGGAGATGTCTGGCTGTTTCTAGGGCAGTATCCTGGCGGCATGGGAAGGCCTCTACCCAGTGGGTTAGTTGGTCCTTGCAGACAAGAGCATATTGATACCCATTTGCCTTAGGTAGCTGTATATAATCCATCTGGATCTTTTCAAATGGTTTCTGCGCCCAGGGATTTCCTCCTTGATGAATTGTTTTTCTGGAGGTGGTATTATTTGCTTGGCAGGTTTGGCATGTCGTGGCTATTCTTTCTTTTTTTTTTTTTTAAGTTTCCAACACTTTTATCAACTTTATTTCTTCTTTTTTTTAAATATAATTTATTAGTTTTTACAATTAAAACCAACCAACAATACATACACAAATGAACGAAAGAAAAGAAAAGAAGAAGGGAAGAAAAGAAAAGAAAGAAAAAATTAGAAAAAAAAGAAAAGTTAAAAGCATTCTTATTTTTACAGTTTGCAAGATCTTTTTTCATAACCTTTGATTTATGTCATATACACACACCTGTTCTTTACATATATCGCTGTATCATTATTATAGATTAATACTTTTCTCTTATGCCTTATGATATATAATTTATCTTTGATCAATCCAATTATACCAACAATTCCAGCTATCATAATATAGTGAAGTATCTTTGTTTTTTAGCACCAAAGTCAGTTTATCCATTTCTGCACATTTTGAAATTTTTTCGATAATCATTTCATCTGATGGAGTTTGATGTTGTTTCCAATATTGAGCGAAGGCTAATCTGGCCACTGTTAGAATGTGTATTGTTATATATTTAGTTTTTTGGGAAATTTGTTTGTCAAAAATCCCTAACAGGAAGGACTCTGGTTTATATTCGATCTGCTCTTTTGTAATTTCTTCCAACCAAGTTTTGATTTTCTTCCAGTAATTTTGGGTTTCTGTACATGACCACCACATATGAAAAAAGGTTCCTTCTTTTTTCCTACATTTCCAGCAATACGGACTCATGTTAGGGTGCATCTTCGCTAACCTCGAAGCGGGGAGGTGCCATCTATAAAACATTTTATAAAGATTTTCCTTATATGCTGCCGATCTAGTGATCTTATTATTTCTGCCCCAAACTTTCTCCCATTCCGCTAATGTGATGCTGCGCCCTACGTTCTTACTCCGAGCAATCATATTTCCTTTTACGATTTCTTCTTCTAATTCTGTTTCTAATAAGTAATTGTAAAATTTTGTTATGTTTTTTTTGTCTGATCCTAATAAAATTTTATCTAATTGTTGAAGTTTATTGTTAATTCCAAATTCTTTCTTGTCTTGTTTGTATCTACTTTGAATCTGAAGGTAAACCCATTGATCAATTTTTTGTCCTTGCTCCTGAAGTTCCTGCCTCGGTTTCAAATTTCCTTGTCTTTGTATTTAATCATTTTAGTAATATCCAAATTATTTGGGTGAATCATCGCCTCCATTGTTGAAATCCATATTGGTACTTTTGTATAATGTTTTTTCTGTATTTTCCTCCAATTTGTTAGTAGTGCGTCTCAAATTAAATGTCTATGGAAATATTTTTGACTGGTTTTCCCTACATCCCATAGAAAAGCATGCCACCCCCTTTGTAAATCATGGCCTTCTAGGAATAATATTCTTTTGTTGGTTAAGTTCACCCAATCCTTCAGCCAAACTAACGAGGTGGCCATATGGTATAACTCCCAGTTTGGAAATGCTAACCCTCCCCTGCTCTTCATATCCTGCATTGCTTTTACATTTATTCTGGGTTTTTTTCCTTGCCAAATAAATTTAAGGGTTATTTTATTGAGTTCTTGAAAAAACCTTTTGTGTAATTTAATTGGGATCATTTGGAATAGGTACAAAAATTTGGGGAGAGTGTTCATTTTAATGGTAGCGATCCGACCTAGTAGTGAAATTTGAAGTTTACCCCATGATTCTAAATCTTTCTTTACCTGATGTATCAATTTATCATAATTATTTTCTTTGAGTGTCTTACAGTGTGGTGTTAGCCAAATTCCTAAATATTTCACTTTCTTTGTCACTTGTATTTCCATTGTTTCTTCTAATTCTATATTCTGTTTTTCTGTTAAATTTTTAGTCATTAATTTGGTTTTTTTCCTATTAATTTTGAGTCCTGCTACTGCTCCAAATTTCTCTAATTCATTCATCAATTTTAGTCCCCTGTCTATTGGTTCTTCGATAAAGAAAATCATATCATCCGCAAATGCTTGAAATTTATATTCCTCTTTCTTAACTGTTAATCCCTTTATATCTGAATTCCACCAAATTCGCATTAGTAATGTCTCTAATGATAATATGAAGAGCAGGGGAGAGAGTGGGCAGCCCTGTCTCACTCCTTTTTCTATCTTTATTGGGCGAGTATATTCCCCATTTATTATTATATTAGCTTGTTGTGTGTCATAGATGGTTGTTATAATATTTTCAAATTTGGTGCCCAGATTCAAATTATAAATTTTTTGAATTAAAAATTGCCAATTTAGATTATCGAAAGCCTTCTCTGCATCTAAGAACATGAGTGCTACTTGTTTCTCGGGGTGGGCTTCATAAAATTCTAGTACGTCTAATACTATTCTTAGATTGTTCTTTATTTGCCTAGTTGGGAGAAATCCATTTTGATCTTCATGTATATACAAGTTTAACATTCTTTTTAATCTGTTTGCTATAATAGAAGTGAATATTTTATAATCAGTGTTTAAGAGTGAAATCAGCCTATAATTATTTATATATCTGGGATCCGTATCCTCCTTCGGGATCAGCGAAATCAACGCCCCCCTCCATGAGTCCGGCATCCTAGCTGCCAGTAAAACATCATTAAAAACTTCCACCATAAGTGGTCCAATTTGTTCTGCTATTGCCTTGTACAGCTCCCCTGGAATCCCATCTGGGCCCGGGGTTTTATTATTTTTCTGGTTCTCTATTGCTGATTTCAATTCCGATTCAGTAATATCTTTATTTAGTAGTTCTACCATTTCTTCCCCAATTGCCTTATCCTTCACTTCATCTAAATAATTCCTTATTCTATCTTCACTGACATCTTCTTTTTTGTATAGATCTTCAAAGTATTTATGAGTGATTTCTTTTTTCTGTTCTATTTCCTGGTATATATCTCCCTTACTGTCTATTAACTGATATATCAATCTCTTTTCTTTCTTTTTTTTTAATTTATAAGATAGCCATCTTCCTGGCTTGTTGGCATGTTCAAAATAGGTTTGTCTAGTCAAATTCAAATTCATAATAATTTTCTCTTGTTCAATTAAATTCAGTTTGTGTTTAGCTATACTTATCTGATTTTGCAGTTTTGAATCTTTTGGGGTATTCTGTAGTAGGGTTTCTAGTTCCTTAATTCTTTGTTGTAATTTG